TGTGTGTGTGTGTGTGTGTGTGTGTGTGTGTGTGTGTGTGTGTGTTGTGTGTGTGTGTTTCTTAGGATTGAACCTAGGGCCTCAGGCAGATGCTATGGCTGCATGACACCCCTAGTTCTTTCATTTAATATTTACTGACATCCTGCTTGTGGTGTGTGTGTGTTTGTGTGTGTGTATGCATTGGAGTCTGTGAAGAACAGTAGGGGGAGCCTGGTGTGGTTCCACTGTTTCTGTTAGATATGCTCTAACGGGGGAGATTGGCAGTAACAGGAACCATCTTAATTCCTAACACACACCTGTGAAGAATCTTAGATGATGACAAAGGACTATGTGGGAAGTTGGATTTAGGTGTTCTGAGGAGGCAAAGATGATTGTATGTGGGGATGACATAAAGGTGATAGAGGGACAAAGATGTGCAGAATGAACAAGTCTGAGGTAGTCATTGAGGGAGCAGAGAGGTAACAGATGGAAGGCAATGCTGGCAAAGGCCTCACTGCAAGCATCTAGTATGGCAGTTCCACAGAAACTGCTGGAGGCCACCTTGGGATGCCCAGACTGGCTGGCCAACTAATGGGAGAATTAACCTGTGTGTCAGCTAAGCAGTTTGGATATCTTCTAAAAGGCCACAAATGGCAAATGGGCAGCCTGTTGGTTGTGTTTATAAATGGACATGTTTTCCTTGGACAGTGAAGTATTTATTATGCAAAAATCTGGCCAGCATTTTGAACTCTGGAGACTTAGATTTCTGCTTGTGTTGAAGGGAACTCTGATCAGGCCCCTGTGGCTCAGCCTCCTGAACACAGCAGTTCACCAGCAGTAAGCAGTATCTGTTCCCTTCAGGAAGATGCTATGCTTGTGATCCAGCAGTGACAGGCATCTCAACCTCAATGTTGCTTCTTTGGACACTGCACTTTCTGCCTTAGGCAAAGAGAGTTCTACTTGGGGAGCAAAAGGATGACTTAGAGGCAGAGAAACTAGAGGCAGGGAACACAGCAGACTATGTAACTGGAAGCAGGGAAACCTGGCTCTGGCTTAGGTTGGTGGTACTTAGAATACATGGGGCACAGGTGAGAGATTTTAGGAAGCCTCTGCATGTACATGTGAAGGAGGAGATTCCAAAGATGGCTCTGAAGGGTGAGGTGGGAGCTCACGGGTAGGTTTGTGCTTACTATGTTGAGAGCCTGGGTTGACCTCCAGTGCCAACAACAGAAGCAATGATGAAATTTCAAGTGTGAGTGTCTGGGAGCATACTGGCATTTATAATATTTCCTATAGTCACTCCTGTGGTGTCCAGGGTATGCTTCTTTGGCAAATACTAACCCGTGAATACTGGCCACACAGCAAGAAGAATTTTCCAGCCTGAAAGTGTCTCTTTTCCCCTTCGAAGTATAAGGCGATGCTCTGATAGTCTTCATTAGTTGTGTCTTCAGAACCTACAACACCCGTTCACTGAGTAAAACATCTGAGTAGAACCTGATGATCTGCCATTGCCAGTCTAAAGCTAGTATCTATGAGAAGCGATCTAAAAACATGAGGCTGGGCCCGTGACATGGCTCAGTGAGGAAAAGTCCATGCTGTGGCTGTCTGATGACCCGAGTTTGATCCTCAGGAACTACACAAAAGTGGAAAGAAAGAACCAACCCCGTAAGGTTGTCCCCTGGCCTCCAGACACACACTGTGACACATGTGCTCTCCCTCCCACATCACCGCACTCACACACACAAACAAATAACCTTAAAAACCCCGGAGACTAAGAAACATGCATTCTCAGACAGAAAATTCTGTTTTGTATCTGCAAAATCTTTAAAAACCATAATTTGTGTGTACAGCTTTTTCTTAAAGTAACCCTACATTCTGAACTGGTATACCAACTTCTATGTTTTATGCAAACATTTTCTTTAAAATTTTTTTTTAAAGATTTATTTATTTATTTTGCATACAGTGTTCTGGCATGTATGTCTGCATGCCACAAGAGGGCACTAAACCTTATTACAGAGGGCTGTGAGCCACCATGTGGTTGCTGGGAATTGAACTCAGGATCTCTGGAAGAGCAGCCAGTGAGCTTAACCTCAGAGCCATGTCTCCAAACCCCAAAATGGTTATTTTTAATGTAAATGAGTATTTTGCCTACATGTTTGTATGTACCACATGTATGCAGGTCCCCACACAGGCCACAGGAAGGTGTCAGATCCCCTGAAACTAGAGTTACAGACCCTTATGAACTACCATGTGGGTGCTGGGAACTGAACTCAGGATATCTGCAAGAACAGCCAGTGCTTTTAACCCCTTAGCTATCATCTCCCCAGCCCCTGAAAACAGTTTTATCGTTTAAGGTCCTCCTGCAATTCCCATCACCTTCATGGTGAAGTTTTGCTTACCACTTCTGGTTGATAAATAGCATGGTTTGGGAAATGTGACCTCTCTTGGAATTGACCCCACATTTCTGAGAGCTGCTCTTCTTAGAATTCCACCTCAACTTTAGGCTGTAGGAAGCCTGAACCCAGCAAATAATGTATGTGTATATGTGCATACAGGGCTTAGGTTTGTACAGGAGTGCTTGAGTATACACTTGTCTAAGCTATAGATCGTAAGAATCATGGTTTCTGTGACAACGAAATCTTTATGAGAAAGTAGGGAAACAATGGTATTTACCAATGATGTCTGCGTAGATTTCCATTTTGTTGTGCTGCTGAGCCAGGGTGAAGGCTTCATTGTTACATTTGGACAGGACCAGAAATTGGATGGCAGACCCATAGTCACCAAGCTGTAGAAAGAACCTATGACAAAGGACCTTAGTTAGCTTGCCTCTCATGTCAAATTTATGACCATGATGGGTAATTTATTTCATCAGCTTGTCAGGATCTAGAGTCATCCAGGAGGCACACTTTCGGGCATGTCTGTTGCGGTTTCTAGATTGGGTTGAAGTGTGAAGACCCACATAAACGTGGGCAGCATCATCCCATGGGCTAGGACATCAGACCCAGTGAAAGGAGGAAGTGAGCTGGGCCCAGCATCCATCTCTCCACGCTTCCGCTTCCCCAGACCGGTCACCATTCTTCCCTGACATGATTGACAGTGCTCTCATGAACTGTGAGTCAAAACAAACCCTTTCCTCTAAGTTGCTTTGTTGGATAGGTATCATCATAGTCATGAGAAAAGTGACAAATACCATGACTTATAAAAACAAAATATCTTTTTCAACCAGGTAAAAGTAAAAATGTATCCCGTAACTGTAGTTCTGCATTATCTGTTTATATTTGACGGACACATTCTCCCACATGCTGATCATAACAAAGAACCATTGCACTGAAACATCTAAAGCTAATAAAAACTAAGAATTTAAACATTTGATGGGGGTATTTCTTTCACACTTGTGTTTTTGAAGGCCCAAATACACTAGTGTGCAGTCACCTGGCTACCATCTTGGCTCCATCCAGAGACTGGGTCTCTCTGACGATGCTGACGGCCTTCTCGGGGTTGTTGAGGTGGTCTAGGTAGATGCGGATGACGCTGTTCCACTGCTTTGCATTCTCATAAGCCAGCACGGCTTCTTTGTACCTGGGAGAGACATGGGTCAAGTAAGCTCTCTCAACTCTGTCATTTGGGAGCCTGCAAATGTGGGGAACACTTTTCTGCTGCGGTGATAGCAGTTGCTTTGTTTAGTTGAACTTCTTTTTCCTTCAGAATCAAATACCAGGAACTCTCTTATGAAAATGCATTCTCTTTTAGGGGTTGTATAAATGAAGTATAAAGGACCAATAATGAATTTTACTTTTACCTATGAATTAATAGATATAATTTGTTTACATTGTACTGTGATTTTTATTTTTGAGTGGGACTATTGTAATAGTAGTGTACAATTATTTCTGGAAAACAGAAATTACAGAATGCTTCACAATGATAGACATAGCTTTAATAGCAAGATACAAAAGATAGCTTTAATAGCAAGATACAAAAATCTTTGCTTGTTCACCTCTAGATGGCGTTCAGGACTTCACAGCGCAGACTAACTTTTTGCTCTTTCAATGTCAACACATTTAAGTGTGTATCAGTATCTACTTTCCAAGGTTAATTTCAAAAAGTGGAAGGCATTACTAACCTATAAAGGTCTCTTAACAGATACTTCTTACATTAATTTCCAAAGACTGTAGAAATTTACACTTCTATCAGCCACATATATCAAGAGCATTTTGATAGCATGGTTGTTGGTTCAAAATAAAAATAAGCATCAAATATGGTGGCATGCTTTTACTACCATCAGGGGTGGAACTTCCAGTGTTCATAGGAATGCAGCTCATAATTGTATTTCCTCCTCTGGATCTTGCCTTTTTTTTATTTTTATTTTTTAGCCCCCTTTCCTAGTAGTGGTTTTTAGTTTCTTATACCTATTAAGTTGTAGAAATTCTTAGTATATTTAGGATAGTCCCTCTTCATAGCTATATTTAGTATTGCGCTGCAGCTTCAACAGTAGAGGATCCATGTGTTTATTCTTTGCTCCTTCTGCATCCTGAAGTCATCTTTTTTAACCATGTTCATGCCACATTGTGCCAAAACTTCAGTACTTAGCCTCACTTACAGGAGGCAGCAGGCTGTATCTGGATACATACAGGTCTGCCTTTGCAGCAGGCCTGTCTTCTAGAAGGTTGAATGTACCAATGGCTAACCTATCAAGCTTGTGCTCTCTTAGGTTTTTACAGACTTGGGAAACTGTACATACCTCCCGTCCGCCTCTTTAGCTTTGGCATATTGCAAGTGGATCTTAGGAGAGGAGACATGGGGCAGAAGTTCGCCAACTTTTGCCCTAGAAAGGGAGAGTCGAGAATGATATCAGCACACATTCCTGGCCAGGAGTAGTAGCTGCCCACAACTAGCTCTCCTTCTCAAGGGCAGCTATGAGCTTACAGACATCTTGGTCCTATATGCAAACTAGATATAACTGCCCTTTCTCCTGATACCTCCTCCTCCACCAACAGGGAGGGAAGATGAAGGCTAGTGCATTAACTCTTTGGGGGAAACCAGTACTTTATCTGGTTTAGGATGCTCCTCGGGAAGCAACTATGGATGCGAACTCACCTATGTAATAACAACAGAGATGGAAGGCAGAACCAAGAGGGAGAACAGAATGGACAGTGGGATGAGCAGCAGAGACAAGTGGGGAGAGCCCAGACACACCCCTTGGAAACAAACTCTGGCCAGCCCTTACCAGTTCTTACAGCGGATGTAGACAGAGGCGGCTTTGTCGTAATACTGCCCTTTTTCATACAGCTGGGCTGCTTCTGAAAATTGCTACAGTAATAAAGGGAATGTAAGACACTGCATTTGTTATGATCTGACCACATGAATATTTATGAAGATAAAGGAGTACCTTCATGTTCTCTAGTATGGCTCCACAGTCTCTTTTAAGGACCCTACTGGGGTGTTTGAGGGCTTGGTTAGCCCCTCTACGGATGTCTCCCATCCTTATGGACATCTGAGCCACTCCAGCCAGGCACACCTCATCATGTTCCTGCGAAAACAAGGCAAATGCTTCTAACACAATGTGCTTCAGTGGCCAAAGGTCAGGTCACTCTCATCTATCCTTTTAAGACATACTCTCAGCTGTCGTTTTTAAGAAATTCTCACAATTCTGAAATAACACTTAAAAATCAACTAATACAAAGTTATTTTTTTTTCTGCTGGGCATTGGTGGCACACAACTTCAATCCCAACACTTGAGTGGGGGGGCAGCGGCAGTTGGAACTCAGTGAATTCAAGGCCAACCTGGTCTACAAAGTGAGTTCCAGGACAAAGTGAATCCTGTCAATTGTTACACAGAGAAACCCTGTCTTGAAAAGCCATTAAAAAAAGTTATTTTTTCTTCTCAGAGGTTTTGACCTCTTATATTTAGCAGAAAAATTTTGCTATTCCTTGTTTTATACCTCTTGGCATAAAGTTATATCTAGAAGTGATATACTAGAAGTGATATATTTTTTATAGCATTTATGCTATAAAAAATTAAGAAGGGATTCATTAATCAAACTGAAAATCTCTGTATCAGGTAGGATTACACATACATTCATCTAGAACTGTTCAAGTCATTAAAGGACAGCTAGTAAACTTGTCATATTAGCAAGAGGGTCTCTGTAAGCAGTTCTGGCTAACCTTAAAACTCACTAGTTAATTCAAGCAGCCCTGGAACTCGAAGCAATCCTCTTGCCTCAGCCTCCCAACTTCAAGGATATAGGCATGTGCCACCACACCTGTTTTCTAGTGAAATGCAGTGTCATACTGAGTGACATGTCCACTAGAACTTTCTGTGATGGCAGGAATGTCTTGTTTCTTCCCCATTAGCATAGAAGATAATAGTACAAGAGGCTACTGGGCATCTAAAATGTGACTCATTCGAGGGAGAAGTAGAATTTCTCTTCATTTTTAACAACCCAAACTGCCATATGTAGCTAGTGGCTACAGTATTTGACAGATTAAAGAATGAACTAAAATGGATGGACCAAACAAAGGATGTTAATAGCAGAGTGCTCAGTGAGATGGCTCAGTGCTGGCCATCAAACCTGAGGACCTGAGTTTGATCCCTGGAACCATCATGGTGGAGAGACCAATATCTGTAAGTTGTCATCTGACAGCCACCTATAGGTAGAGGTATGCATGCCCCCGTCTCTCAACCCACAATCAATAAATAAATATATGTAATTTTTAATAAAAAATTATTTTATTATTTTATGTGTATGGGTGTTTTCCCTGCTTGTATGTCTGTGTATCACATGTTCTTGGAGTTAAGGACAATGACAATTGTGAACCACCATGTAGGACTTGAAGCTAGGACTTCTGGAAAAGCAGCCAGTGCCTTAACCACTGAGTCATCTCTCTAGTCCAAGATTACTGAATTGTCGTAAGAGCAAAAGTCTTACAACATCACATTGGTCTGTGACATATGTACAAAAAATGGATTAGAAAAAAAAAGAAATCAGCTGGGCGTTGGTGGCGCACGCCTTTATTCCCAGCACTTGGGAGGCAGAGGCAGGTGGATCTCTGTGAGTTTGAGGCCAGCCTGGTCTCCATAGTGAGTGCCAGGATAAGCTTCAAAGCTACACAGAGAAACCCTGTCTCGAAAAACAAAACAAAACAAAAAAAGAGAAATCAACAGGCAAAGATCAACCTGGTTCTACTGTGTGTAGAGCTGTGGTACCTCCCACGCTTTCTGAGTCAGTGCACACCAGTCTCCTTTAATCTGTTAAGAGCATCTAATGTCACTCTGGATGTACCATGAGTTTTCATCGATTTTTCTCACTCAACTACATTGGCATATAAATGAGATGAAATAAAAGTTTCACTTCCGATCCTAATTAGGAGCTCATATGTAGGGTGTAATGGCAAACAGATGCAATAAATAAAAATATATTGCCATCTTTAGTTTGTGGATAAAGTAACTTAAGCACAAACTTCTTGTAAAGTTGTTAATAAGTGGAACAATTAGACTCACCAACTAGATACTGAATAACTACAATGCAAATAAGAACCGGATTTTAAAATGAAACAGAAAACACACTCCTGGAGCATTAGGCATATTTTGTATATATGTAAGGTTACCTTATTATCACCTGTGATACCTTTCTCATAATGAGCCAAAGCATTTACATAATCACCCCTAGAAGAAAAAAAATCACAGCAAATTAATTCATATTTAAGTCTCTTAGCTACCCACAAAGCTTTAAAGATACTCTTTGTTGCTGTGTGGCTTACACTCAGGAAAGATGCTGTACAACACGGATGCTGCATCCATCAAAGAGTAGCATGCTCTTGCCTCACTGCTTCAAAACCATTCTGGGTTGTGCTATAAGGTACTTACAGTGTGATATGTTAGACATTTCAAGAAGGCTACAGTGTATTTTATGGGTTACTTTTAGTTAATTATTTCCTTTAGGGCACAAATGACAATCACATAGTCACAGAAACCTATTTTTTCCAAATGCCCAATGTTTTTAAGAATGTATTAAGAATGTAAGAATGTATGGGTTGGAAGCCTGTGAGATGGCTCCGAAGTTAAGGCACTAGCTCCATGCCTGACCCACATGGTGAAGAGAAGTGATTCCTGCAAGTTGTCCTCTGAACCGCACACATGTGCCATGATGTGTATACACACACACACACACACACACACACACACACACACACACATACACACACACACAATTTGCTTAAAGGATCACCTATGATATAATTGTGCTAGTGTGTGTTGAGTTACTTGACAAAGCAGCTGAGGAAAATAAACTTATTTTGGGTCAAGGTTTTCAGAGGTTTCAATTCATGGTCACTTGACAGATGGTGACATTGGGCCTGTGACAGAGAAACATTATGGCAGGGGCACATGGTGGAGCAAAGTGGCTCACCTAATGGTGGTCAAGAAGCAGAGGAAGAGGAGGGTCCAGAGACCCAGTATGGTGTTCAGGACATCAATGACTTAACTTCCTTATACTAGGCCCAGCTCCTAAAAGTTCTACCACCTTTCTGACGTTACAGGCTGGAAACCACCTCTTCAACACATGGCTTTTGGGTACACCCCAGATCCAGAGCAACAACAATAATAGTTCCTATGCCCCGGGCAGAAAATAACACAGACCTGTAAATCTACAACCAGCCTCTTCAACTGTAGGTCACAGCCCCATAGCTGAGTGTGGGTATCACAAAACCATTTGATATAGTAAAAGCAATAAAAAAATGTAATCCAGAATCAAACATATAAAGATCCAAGGTGTTTCTGGCAGGGCTTAGTCATGTCACATCACGTGACATCGTTGCTACCTTGGTTCTGAACACACTGCACTGCATGCCACACAATGCCAGTGAAGCTGCCAGAAGCATCTCGGCTCAGATCCAAAACTACTGAACATTATAATCTGCCATGTTTTTACTACACATATAGTCTTCTGCTCTTACAGAACCATGGTGGCTTAACTATGACTTAATCAGGGTTTAACTGTGCAAAACAATATTTAACATTCTCCTACTGCACTCATCAGCATGTATCAAGTTAGGATGCCATGCTTTGTATTGTGTTAGAACATTTGATTTTCAAATTTGCTGAGTTGTTAACTTGAGTTTCATTAAAAAAAAAAATCATTCATTGAATTTTGGCTTGGGATTGGGACAGAATTTCCAACAATTTCTGAAATGGCCCTAACCATATTTTTGGTGTTTATACTATGTATTTATTTGAAGCATTGACAATATAAGATCACACTATCAATGAACTCTGAAGAACAATGACAGTGCTCTAGGCCTTATAGTATGGAATGTCCAGGCAAATTTAATTTTTTGCATAAAAACATCAACATACATTTCATTAGTATTCAAATCTCCTTTCTTCATTAATAAAGCTAAAGATTATATATACATATATATATATACATATATATATTAAATAATTGTGTGTGTGCACATGTGTGTGCTCCCCTGAGTATAAATAAATGTCTATGTAACCTTGTATGCATGCATGGAGGTCAGAGGGTGATGTCAGGCATCTGTCTCTATAGCTCTCCACCTTATCTTTTTAAATAATGTTTATTTTATGCATCTGAGTGTTGGCCTTCTTATGCATATGCATGTGTGCCTGTCACCTAGAGGCTGGAAGAGGGCCCTGTATCCCTTGGAACTGCAGTTACATCATCATGTGGGTTCTGGGAACTTTACTCAGGTCCCTGGTCCTCTACAAGAATAGCGAGTACTCTGGACTGTAGCGCCATCTCTCTCACCTTCCTCCTTGTTTTCAACAGGATCTTTCACTCAACCTGGAGCTCACTAACTGGCTGGGATGCCCCCACCTCCCATTTGGGCTTATAGGCTAGTGCCACCCTGCCTGGCTTTTTTAAAGTTTTACATGGTGCTGGGGATTCAAACTCAGGTCCTCATGTTTACACAGCAAGTCCTTTACTCATTAAGCCATAGTTCTAGTCACAGAGATTTCTTTATGAATTAACAGCAAATGTTTGATTTCTATTTTATAGACCTATAGACCTGGGGTTGCACAAAAACTTCTCAGGCAAAGAAGGGGCTGCAAATGGGTAAAGTTTAAGAGGCTCTGGTCTGACAGACTTATTTATTTTCATTTTTCAGTACAGTGACTTGCACAAGACCTTTTATTTGAGCTCTACCTTCCTCTGAGCAATCACCCCTCCACTGTAGTCAGCTCTGAAATGGTGCTAAGATCCACTCAAGCACCCTTCAGCCCCTCAGGCAAATGACTGGAGTTCTGTGAGGTTTGCCCAGTTTCTGAATCTACCGACGGATGAAAAGACTGATGGACACAAAGGCTTCGGGAGGGAAGCTGTGCTCTGACTGAAGACTTTCTTTCATCAGCCCAGAGCTTCATAATCAGCAATTTTCCTGAGCAGGGATGTCTAATTTGGGTCCAATTACAGCCCACCTAGGGCCACCTCCTGACAGGAAGAATTACAGCTTCTTACTCAGGACCCTGCTCAATTAGGAGATGCTAAATTAAGATTTTGGAGCTCTCTGTCTATTTTAAGCTCACCCCCTTTACTATTATTTCACTTTGGAACTCTCACAGGACTTTAGCTCACTAGTATAACCCCACCAGACAGCTAAATCTCTCTAGCTTTGACACATTAGGGCTGTGGATGCCTAATGAAACCCATGGGCCTAACACAGGCAGGACCTTTGGGTGCTGAGATCCATGGATGCAGGCTACTGGGGTGCTTGATGAGAAGACACACCCAGGTTATCATCAGGGACACTTTCCAAACTGTTAGGAGCTGGGTGTGTTAGGTCAGGGGTGTGAGCACACACAAATAGCATCAAAAGCTACATGGTCATGTGCTACCACCAAAGCAAAGACTTCCTACTGATCTATCAGTGCTAACTCAAGTCAGGTAAAGGGAGAGTTTGCTACAAAAAAATCCCAGAGAAAAGTAAAACTCAGTCTTCTGAATGGTCCAAGGGTTCTGAATGACAAGGTATACACTTTCCTCTTCCATGGAGTTGGAGGGCACTGGGACCTGCTCTCTTGTGCTACATACTAAGTTTCCAATATGTCCATTTTGATATATGGACATTTTTGTTTTTAATTCACAAGCTAAACAAGCAACCTTGCCACTTAATTACACCCTAGCTCCCTGGGTTCATTGCATATATTTTAATTTTTAAAACAATTTAAAATTTTGTGTATGTGTATCTGGGTATGTGCAGGGACCCACAGGGGCCAGAGGCATCAGATCCCCCTGGAGCTGGAGTTACAGGTGGTTATGAGCTGCCTGATGTGGGAGCGAGGAATTGAACCTGGGTCCTCATCGAAAGCATCAAACACTTTTAACTGCTGACCTATGTCTCCAGCTTCATGGATTTACTTTTTAAGGGGAGAAATGTGGCAAAATTTAAATTTAAAATGATCAAGAAGAAATATATCCAAAAAGCTTTTACCTGAAGAATAAAAAATGATTTATTTTTTTTGTTTTTATTTTGGAGAGACAGAGAGAGAGAGAGAGAGAGAGAGAGAGAGAGAGAGAGAGAGAGAGAGAGAGAGAGTCACGTGTGTGCAGGTGTCTGGGGAGGCTAGAAGAGGGCATCTGATCTCCTGGACCAGTTGAGAAACATCTGACTTGGGTGCTGGGAAGCAAGCCCAGGTCACTTGGAGGAGCAGCAAGTGCTCTTAACCACTCAGCATCTCTCCAGCCCCCAGAACAGAAAAGTTTTAAATTGAGTATCCTGATTAGAAATAAAACAGGACTTTTTGGCATAATGATTTGTACAACTACAATTTGTGTGACAATATCCTTAATGAATCCATTGTATGAACATCATGCAGAATTATGTAAAACTGTTTAAAAAATAAATATAACCGGGGGCATGAGAGCAGGAGAGCTGGCCCTGCACCTCACCAACTGTAGCACTTGAAGAGCGGGCCCTGCACCTCACCTAGGCAGAACCTTAGAGCTGGCCCTGAAGGTGTGAGTGTGGGTGAGCCACCCTGAGAGTCTGAGAGCAGAACTGGCTCCACCCCTTGCTGCCTGGGGCAGTGGGTGAGCTAGCCAGAGCTGGCCCTGGTGGTGAGATGAGGGAAAGTTGGTGGGCTGACCAATCCAGCTACCACCCAGGCTCAGAACCAAGGCAGTGAGTTGGCCCATCCCAACATCCACTGCATCTATGAACTGCTGGGGCGAGTGAAGGGGCCAGACCTGTAGATACAAAGCTGCAGGATCTCCATGACACAGGGCAACAACAGGATATCCAAGAGGAGTCCAAGTAAGGGCCCAGCATCAATAGTGTAGCAGAAACCAGAAGCCTGGAACCAGGTCAATGACTCCTTGCAATGAGCACTTACAGGGAAAGATGTATAGACTAAAGGGTGTAGTGTTGTGATTCACTGTGTCACACTACAGCTTTCATGGCAAGACTTTCTTGTTTGTACTTGTTTTTGTTTTTCCTTTAAATTTTATTTTATTTTGTGGGGGAAGGTTGCAAGGGCAGAGGGTAGGTATGAAGGGATAGGGAGATGAATGGGATTGGAATACATGGTGTGAAATCTACAAAGAATCAATAAAAAGTTTTTTAAAAAGTAAATATAACCAAAGGCTAGCATTTATCAACAATCCAATATTTTTGAATTTGGAATGTATCTTAACAAATGTTGAGAAGAGCTGTCCAGGTGTGGTGCTGTCAGTGCCTGTGTGAGTTCATGTCTGAAAACAAATGACTCAGCTATAGTTATATGCTTTGGGGGCAGTGACACAGCTGGACATTAATTTAGAACTGACTATTGGATACTTCTAAAATTACTTTTATGCAGTGCTGGAATAAAAAAAAAAGATAGAGTCTGTGTCAATTAAGCAGACTGGAAGCTAAGATGGCTCACAGTCAAGAATACTAGAACAGCTGGGCAATGCTGGCACATGCCTTTAATCTCAGCACTGGAGAGGTAGAGGCATGAGAATCTCTTCGAGTTCAAGGCCATGTTGGTCTATACAGCGAGTTCCAGGACTGCCAAGGCTACACAGAGAAACCCTGTCTTGAAAAACCAAGAAAAAAAAAAAAGAATATTAGAACATTCTAAATTACTCAAAATAGATCATGGGATTTCCATAGATATGAAGAGGTCTGTGAAACAGAATTCTGGGTTGTATGGGATTATTATGCAGGCACTGGCCATTGTCCTCAGGCAAGCTTCTGCCTTGACTTTCACCACTACTGAGTTTTCATCTATATGCAATTCAATTCCCGAAGGAAAAAATTCTACAACTTTTAAGTTATGGGTTGAAGCAGCCTCCTGCCCTCTGTATTTTGGAACTTAACTGCTACTATGATGGCATTGGGAGGTAAGAGCTTTAAGTCAATGGAGGCATGATTAAAAGGGCTCAGAGTGGAAGGGAATACTGTCTCCTGTTCTTTAGCCTTCCATGTAAGAATTCAAAACCAAGCCTTACCCAAATGCTGGTGCCTTTGACTTGAGTTTCCTAGCCTCTACAGCTGTGTGAAATTTCTTTTTAAAACATTTGCTTTACTTTTAATTATATGTAATTATGTGTGTATATGTGTATGTGGGTAACTGTAGAGTCCAGAGTCGAGGGATCCCCTGGAGCTGGAGTTACAGGTGGTTGTGAGCCACATAACATGGGTGCCGAGAACTGAGCTTTCTCTCCAGCCTGAAATTTCTGATCTTGACAAATCACCTAGTCTCAGGCATTCTGTGACAGCAGCACAAACAGACCAAGGTACAGACCAAACTTCAAAGTTTTGTGCTATGCCTTTAAGTGACACATAAAATCTTCCAAATGTTAAAAAGAGGTCTGAGCTGGGTGGTGGTGATGCATGCTTTTAGTCCCAGCACTGCAAGGCAGAGGCAGGTGGATCTCTGTGAGTTTGAGGTCAGCCTGGTCTACAGAGTGAGTTCCAGGGCAGCCTGGCACACACAGAGAAACTCTGTCTTTACCCAACCCCTCCCCCCCAATAAAAGAATGGCTTCATCAATGATAGTTTAGAACTGCAGGCATGCAGCAATTAGTTACTTATTAGAAGATGTGGAGCCAGGGACTTACGTGAACTCAAGCTGGATGGCATACTCTTTGGATATGAAGGGTATCTGGTCTGGGGCCAGGCGCTTTGCCAGCTGCAGAGCGCTGTCCCAGTGCTGCAGGTCGCGCCTCATCTGTAGGAAAGACAAAGTCCTGAGGACAAGAAAGGCAAAGTGCTTTGCAAAGTTGTTGCCTAGAGGCAGGCTTAGAGAAAGGAATTACTTTTCTTTGTTTGTTTAAGTAATGGGACTTTCTATTTACCAAGATATTCCTATAATACACATTTTGAAAGGCAGTAATAGAGACTTCTATACTGGACAAATATCTTAGTTATTATGGTAGTCTGTGCTCCTCTCAAAAGTCAAGCCTATTTAAAAATGAAAATTTTATTCTTTAGTATTTTTCCCAATAGTGAGAAATCAAAGCTAATATAATCAGCTAATTAAAAATTTCACAATATAAGGACATCAATAAAAAATTAGGAAATACTTTAGGAATTGGTTTCCTTCCTTCCTCCCTCCCTTCCTTCCTGGGATATCAGCTTATTTTATTTTTCACAACTACCTTTCGTAATATTCTTGTACCCATTTGAGAGACCCAGAAAGTGAAGCAAAAAAAAGGCTAGGTTTTACACAATGCTACATGGCTGGTATGAGAGAGCAGGTGGGAAGCAGGGCTCTCTGCCTACCTAACTTGTCCTGCAAAGTGAGGCTGAAGGAACTACTACAGAACTAGTATAGAGCAGAGTGCTATTAGCCCTTTACAAAACTAATGGCACTTACATAACTCTTATATAAGGTTATATTTATGTTGCACATCATAATATATCATAAAAGATGGATGCAGTTTAGTTTCAATATCTGTGAGAAAAGATGACCAGATTCAGAATTTGTTTGCTTATTTCTGGCCACTACTAGTTATATAAATTACTAAGTAGTTGTACTATGAATCCATTTTCTTACCAACCACCCCAGAGGGTCAGGCATCATTACCAATACTTTAAAGAAGTAGGACCTCACTTGAGGTCAAAGGACATGCCCAAGGTCACACATAGCTGGAATCTGAATCCAGGTGTGCCTACCTCACAAGTCTGAACTTTTTTTTTTTTTTTCTTTTTCCAGACAGAGCCTTGTAGCCCTGGCTAGCCTGGAACTTGTTCTTTGGACCAGGCTGACGTTGAACTACAGCAGTCCTCCTGCCTCTGCCTCTTGGGTTCCTGGGTTTACAGGTAGGCAGCACCTGGGCTGGCCAGTCTATACCTCCCACTGACAGTCTGTATTGCCAGGCCTCCCTTCCCCTCTCAGCCCAGCATTTGGTTCAGTCCTCCTCCTGTGACCTTCGGCTCTAACACAGAGGAGAATTTCATGCAACAACCACAAGATCAAAAGCTTCAATGTCCTCACGTGGAAAATAGAGAGAATAACAGTACCATCCCATAAGATAGGTTGTTGCAGAGGTTAAGTGAGCTAATATAGGTTAAGTGCTTAGAAGAGCACCTGGCAATACGAGCAACCAATAAACCTCACTTACTTCTCTCTTTCCAGTTTCTGTAAGTTCCACAGTCTGTTCTCTGTGGGCACATTTAGACTTCGAATTATTTAGCAATGTTACAATACCATGCCTTTTTTATACCTCCACTGACTTCAGAGTGAAAGTGGTTTTGACATTAATGAGCACTCAGGGGCTCTGAAAGCAGAATGTCTACACTTCAGGAGAGGAAGGCAGATGTGTCTGGTGCTGAGAAGTCTGCCTACAGAGAAGGGTGACTGCCCGGTTCTCTTTGCTGTCATACCTCCAGGGCAGCCACAGGACAGTTGGATGCCAGGTACAGGTCCTGAGCCAGGTTGAAGTCATTAGTAAACATAGCAAGATGTCCTGCCAAAAGATTGTAGTCCTCGATTCCCTGCAAATCAAAGTTTCCATGAGAAGAAATAAAAGGATTTTATTTCTCAGAAGGCTTTGCTCAGTAGGAAGTGGTATCAGTTTACCTACTCAGTTGTTTCAATTAAGAGTAACTGCAATGTAAAACGTTGAATAAGCTGCATGTAGACTTTAATCTAGTGAGTCATGAAACACTGCATACCTTTATTTGCTCCAAGGACATCACTGTACCAACATCTCCGATGGTCCGGGAAACTCGGATAGCAAACTCCACCTCCATGTGATGCAGACAGGCTCTGGCCAGCTCATCCCATGCCGTTCGATCATTTAGCATCTTGCATATTTCCCAAGCATCAGAAAACCTAGGATCGAGTACACAGGCTGAACCACAACTCTGCCTTTGCTTGTCACCTACTAGGCAGTCTTGGACTGTATGTCACCAAGCATTACATGTTAGACAAATCTTCAAAACATTTCTTAAGACTATAATCAGCACTTGAAAGATATGGGGGGGAAAAAGTAGACCAAACTTTCTCCCTTCATTTGCATAGATTTTTTTCTTATCTTCTTAATGTATGTGTGTGGCATGTATGTTTGTGCAGTTGTGTGTGGCCATGGGGGCCAGAGGAGGGCACAGAATGTCCTGCTCTATCATTTTTCTGCCTTAGTCCCTGCAGGCAGGGTCTTTGACTGAATGTGGGCTTCATGGTTTTACAGTGAGGCTGGGTAGGCAGTCCCAGACACTACCAGCTGAGGTCCCTGGGCTGCTGAGGCAAGTGTTCTTACCTCCTAAGCATCTCCTAGCCCCGCTCTTACTTGGTCAGAATTTACTGTTATCAGCCCCTTCTCACCACTAATTAACAACAAATTCTAATTTGTAAAATTTCGTAGGTTGTGGGATATTTGTACACTGTGTGAAGGTTTATTGCTGTGATTGGTGTAATCAAAAGCTGAACTGCCAAAAGCTAGGTAGGAGGTATAGTGGGATTTCCAGGGACAGAAAGGAAGAGGAGGAGGAATCGAGGTGTGAAGGAGACACCAGGAGACATGGAAAGGAAACAGGAGGCGCAGGACGGAAGAGAGGTAATGCCACATGATTGAACATAGAGGAATGGAGAGATGACTCAGTGGTTAAGAACACCAGCTAGTCTTCAGAAATCCTGAGTTCAATTCCCAGCAACCACATGATGGCTCACAACCATCAGTAATGAGATCTGGTGCCCTCTTCTGGCCTGCAAGGATACATGCAGACAGAACACTGTATACGTAATAAATCTTAAAAAAAAAAAAAAAAGAAAGAAAGAAAATGATCGAACATAGATTGATATAAATGCGTAAATTTAAATTATAAGAGCTAGTTAGGAACAAGACTAAGCTGTAGGCCAAGCTTTCATAATTAATCATGTCATTATTTGGGAATTGGCTGGTGGGGCAGAAAAAGACTTGTTATATCCACACAAAATTGAAAGTTATTTTTGTTCTCACTTAAGTCTAATAAAATCAGTACTCTAGGCTGGTCTTGGTGGTGTACACCTTTAATCCCAGCACCTGGGAGGCAGAGGCAGGAGAATTTCTGTGAGTTCAAGGCTAGCCTGGTCTACAAATTGAGTTCTAGGACATTTAGGGCTACCTAGAGAGATCGTGTCTCAAAACCCCAACCAAACCAAACCAAACCAAACCAAAACCAACCAACCTCCCTTCACCCCCCCCCACGCCAAAAAGAACACCAGTATTCTATTGTTACATATGTATACATTTCAGAGTTCATCAAACTAAGTCAATGGCACATATGTTCTCTGCTGCTTCTTGTGTGTGTGTGTGTGTGTGTGTGTGTGTGTGTGTGTGTGTGTGTGTGTGTGTGTGTGTGTGTATGTGGATGGATGGGAAAAGAGGAAAAACAGGAGTCTATAGGACAGTGGTTCTCAATCTATGGGTCTCAACCTCTTTGGAAATTGAACAACCCTTTCACAGGGGTTGCCTAAAACCATTGGAAAATTCGGATATTTATAAAGTAGCAATGAAATATTTCTATGGTTGGGGGGGTCACCACAACATGAAGAACTGTATGGAGTTGTGTTGAGATGGGCAAGCCTGAGGAATTCATGGACTGGTGGGAGTTATAAATACAAGTTTAAGGGGAATTATTAATACAAGTTTAAGCTGAAGACAAATTTTTGTTTGTTTTGTTTTGTTGAGACAGGTCTTGCTATATAGGTCAGGCTGACTTCAGACACTGGCAGGTACACTTGGCTACCCAGGATGGTTTATTTATTTGTTTTCTTTTGAACCATGCCAGGGATTCCTAGGGCCATGTGCACAGTAGTGAAGTGCTCTACCACCAAGCTGAAGCCCTAGCCCTGGAGACAGTTTCTAGAGTCAATATGGGTGGTAATGAAGTCATGTGAGGAGATTCATCCCAGAAGAATAAATAGAGGAGAGTTCAAGAGCCCATGGGACCCTGAGAACTTATTCAAGAGCCCTAAAGAACTCAAAGTGGCCCTAGGTAAGAGGAAAAAGAAATCGCAAGCAAGGCAAAAATCAAACTTCATCATTTGTTTAATTAGAACTTTCCAATAGTGGGGCTATTTGTGGCTCTGAGTGCTTCTTTCATAATAAATCACTCATAAAAACCACACCCGACAACAGCACTTCTGATAGAATTTAGCTGTGTTTTCATACTCACTGTCATTTTTGTGTGTATGAGTATGCACATATACATGCATGTTTATGTATCTTAGGTGTATATGTGTGTATGGTACAGTGTGTGGAGGCCAGAGGACAATCTTAGGTATTATTCCTCAAATGCCATCCCTCCCCCCCTTTTTTTTAGACAAGGTCTATAATTGACCTAAATTGGTAAGCAGGCCAGGCTGACTGGGAGAGAGGCCCAGAAATCCATCCGGGCTTATGCCATTACGCCCAGCTTTTTTTCAGTGTGGGTTCTAGGAACTGAACTCAGGTCCTCACACTTGCAAGGCAAGCACTTTAATAACCAGCCCCTCCTATCTGTTATCTTATCTGAGCTTATGTTATCTGTTATCTTATCTGAGCTTCAAAATAGCCCCCGAGACAGCCCCTATTCACATCTTTTGATCAGGACACGAAGGCAAACAAGCTGCTGTCAATCACTTCCATTCCTCCCTACCGCTTGAGCATCAGGGTCTGCATCAGCATCTGTCTCAGGTCTGCAGGGTCCACATCTTTTGTGTTGTCAAGGAAGCTGTGGGTGCTGAGGTAGATGGAGTTGATTTTCCCACTCTGTGTCTGACAGGTCAGTTCTCCATTATATAACAGCAAAGGTTTGTGGGAGAAGGGAAGTTTAGTGCCACCAGCCAAAATAACCTTGGATCCTGTATTAGAAAGCAGACCCCTTAATACCTCAAGCAATGCTTGGCACAAATATTAGAAAGTTCGATTTCACTATAATGGAAATTCATTTATCAGTAAAAGTACAGTAAGTCATTGGGTACCTTGGATGGTGTCCTTGTGAAACACGTAAGTGTACACTTTGTCATCATCATAAGCAATAAATACACCTTTATCCATCGGCCAGTTTTCCCAAAGAACACCTTTAATGGTTGGTGAGAAGTCTGGAATCTCGTAGGTAGCATCATTAACCTATGAGAGAGGATTTACAAATTTGCTTCCTGTGTCTATCATTACAATCTGTCTTGTTAAGAGCCTGCCTGCAGCCAGCCCACTTCCAATTCAACCCCACTCAGATCCCTTCTTTCCCCAGTAGAGGAGCTTCTCTTCCAATTACTAAACTGTATCCTGCTTGGAAAAAACAAACAAACAAACAAAAAACCTCGAAAACCCAAACAGCCAACCAACCAAAAAACGATAGCAGGAAAATCCAGGGTCTGATAAATGGAATAGTTCATGGGAAACTGTAAGTTTAGGCACCAATGGCTCCAAGTCACTAAAAGCAGATGATGCTCAGGACGTATGGAACAACTTTTCTGGAGCATTGTTTTGAGTCAAGATTTGATCAGCTAAGGCTAGCCTGGGCTACATAGTACAATAACATCCAGTCTCAACAACTATGAGAAATCTCCATGAGACTGACACTATAAAACATTACAGAATAACAGGCAGGTTTTCCTGACATTGCTCACTAACATGATATTACACAGATGATAGCACAGGACTATAATACTTGACTCTGTAGAAGAGAAAAATTGATTTGATGGATACTTTAGTAAAAGAAACTTGTTTTTTAGCAGGTATGGTGGAACATACCTTTAATCCCAGCACTGAGAGAGAGGCAGGTGGATCACTGTGAGTTTGAGGCCAGAGTAGTGTATATAGCAAGTTCCAGGATAGTCAGAGCTATATAATGGAGAGACTCTGTCTCAGAAACAAACAAAACAACAACAAAAAACCTTCCTCATTTTATTGCATTAAAAAAGTTAAGCATTTTGAGTTTTTGTTTTGTTTCCTCAGCACTGGGGATTAAGCCCAGGGCACAGAGCTTGCTAGAAAAGCACTTTGCCATCACTGAGTTATACCTGAGCTCACAGTTTCAAATTTTCTAGACTTACAGGACAGTAAACAAATCCATCACTTTTTTCATCAATGAAGACTAATCTGGTTCCATTTGGATCAGGAAAAAGCTTTTTCACACCAACAGGATGTCGGTAATCATTAACAAACTGCCAGTCCTCAATGAAGAAATACTGAATAATGCCAGTCTAAAAAAGAAAAAGAAAAAGAAGTCTGGTCAGGGAATTTAAAGTGTGGTTAAGAAAATACTGACTTTTCACACTGAATTTTGATAATTTTAAAAGAAAAATATTATTACTTTTGATAAAGAAAGAGGCTAATGCATTTAATATATATGGAAGGTACAGACTCTGGAGAAACGAAATGGGAATTCAGAAGTAATTCAATAATCTAGTGACTGTAATATATTTATGTGGCCACAATTGATTTTATAGATTTCCTACTTTCTAGAAAAACTTTCAAAAACAAACCAGTAAACTCCAATGACACCACCAACCACACAGCAGGCTGGCAGTCAGTGACACCACTAACTACAGTAGACAGGCAGTCAGTGACACCATCAACTACAGTAGACTGGCAGTCTTATGAAAGGTTGTCCAAGTCATCTCTCACACATCTACCTTGGAGAAACTTCCAGGAAGCAGATTCTTGCCTGCTTCCAGGGATGCATGGAGCCATCCAACTCACTTTCCTCAGAGTCTGAGCTGTAGTGCTGGCTCCTTCAGTCTGGTGTAGCCTTGCAGGCTACAGATGACTGCATGATAATCTGGCTTTGCTATGTACACCCACTGGAGCTTGCTGTCTCCCTACTCATCTAAGTACAGCCAAGTCAAATGAACTGCTCAGGAAGTACTGAGCAGTGTGACAGCCTTCACTGGTGAAATCTAAAAAATGTAGAAGGAAAATGTATTTACACAATTCTAATAAATGCTTCCAGAAAGTTGAAGATGACTAGCCCATTTCTTGAGGCCAGTATTGCTGTGATACCAACACTAGACAGACAAAAGCACTATATAAAACAAGAAACCAGGTGGTGCACACCTTTAATGGCAGCACCAGCAGAAGCAGTTGGATTTCTGAGTTCAAGGTCATCTTGCTCTACATAGAATGTTCCAGGGCAGCCAGGACTACACAGTGAGATCCCACCTCACAACAAAACAAAACCTCCAAAAACTAAAATTGTAGTACAACGGAGCTGGAGAGATGGCTCAGCAGTTAAGACCTGAGTTAAATTCCCACCACCAGTGGTGGCTCCCAACAATCTGTAACTCTAGTTCCAAGGGATCTGACACCCTTTTCTGGCCTCAGAGGACACCAAGAGGTATACAGAGGACATCTGTAGTATACAGATAAAACATGCAGATGAAACGCAGGGTTAATTAAAAACAAAGAAATAAACAAAAAACTCAAGAGATCAAATTTAAACCAAAGTTTTAGTAAATGAATGTAACAATATGTAAAAAGGAGAATATATTAGCACTCATTAGGGAAAGTGAGGATGGTAGAGCTATTCAGCAGCTAGTAGGTAACTGAATTGATATTTGAGTACCAAATGTCAGATTCTAGAGTCCACCCTTTGCTTTATACAATTGTCTTAGTTAGGGTTTCTGTTGCTGCCATAGAACACCATGACCAAAAACTAAGTTTGGGAAGAAAGGGTTTATTTGGCTTACACTTCCATAACAAAGTCCATCACTGAAGGAAGTCAGAAAAGGAACTCAAACAGGGCAGGAACCTGGAGGCAGGAGCTGATGCAGAGGCCATAGAGGGGAGCTGATTACTGGTTGCTCCCATGGTTTGCTCAGCCTGCTTTCTTATAGAACCCAAGACCACCAGCCCAGGGATGGTACCACCAACAATGGGTTGGGTCCCCTACTAACTGAGAGAATGCTTTACAGCTGGATATCATGGAGACATTTCCTCAACTGAATCTCCTTCCTCTCTGATGACTCTAGCTTGTGTCAATTTGACACAAAAAAGCAGCCAGTAATCAAATTGCTTAAAATCACCAAACACTGATACTAGCCAATTATGCCACCTAGATTCTACCTAAGTATATAACCAACCAGAGACTTATTTGTATTGAATTTGCTAAAGGGAGAAAAAACAATAGGAAGAGGATTAAGGTTGTAAAGCAAGAATTGGACCTTGTCCATGCTCTGCCTTCCTGAAGCTCATACGTACATCTGTTCCATAGATGAGGAAATCACTGGTTAGGGCGTGGCACAGAATCCGGCACTTATCATCCACTGCTGGGAAGAGCCGAGTCTCACGTTCTTCCTGAGCATCCAAGAGTTCATTTTCTATCTAAAATATAAAGATGTCTTATTTAGCACAGTGGTTCTCAACCTTCCTAATACCTCGACCTTTTAATACAGTTCCTCATGCTGTGGTGACTTCCAACCATAAAATTATTTCATTGCTACTTCATAATTGTGATTTTGCTACTGTTATGAATCATAATGTAAATATCTGATATGTGACCGCCAAAGGGGTTGCAGCCCATAGGTTGAGAACTGCTGATTTAGTAGTTCCTTGATTTATCCGAGTAAATAAGGTATACTGCTACATAAATTCAACTACATAATCAGACTCTCAAACTACCTTAGGCCAGCTTACACACAAAACATGACAGCTGGCACACAGGGCAGCCCTGAGGTTTATGTGCAGCAGGCTCAGTGGCTGTCCAGCTGCTAATTTCTTTGGCTTCCCGAATGCAGAGTCAAGAAATAGATGTGTGCTATACCCTGGTCTAAACTCCTGTCCTCACAGGTGCCAGTCTCTCTGGAACAACTCAATAGACACAGTTAGGTGGATCCCAACATGCAACATGCCCAATTACAGAGTGAGTTCGTTCTCTTTAGGTACTCACAGCTCATCTGCAGTTCCTTCTAGATGCAATTACCAACTGTATCATCTTACTATAGTTAATGTTGTGAGCGACACTGTTGATAGTTATCAGGCTTCCATGGCATGTGGGTAAGAAGTCAACTGAACATTGCATACAGTCAAGGAAGGACTCTGTTCATCCTTTAGCCACACTGGGTTTTCTAGTTAGTCTATACATTCTTGCTTCCCAGCCAAGGTTCTTGATAATGGACACCAAACTTAGGCTTCCAGGACAGGAGGATTATACTTACCAAATGTAACTGGATTTTGCCTTCAAAGAGTGCAGCAGCATAGTCAGAATGAAGGCAAATGCTGGCTACCGTTCCCAGATATTCCACATCTTTTAACTTTTTTACAGCTGTATCAATTTCAAAAACATTTACACACATTAAACTATAGGTAAAGTACTGCATCTATTTACTTGCAAAATGATTGTTCAATGTCACTTTGGCAAGGATCTTCTGAACAATAACCTGTTTCTGCCACTCTAAAGAAACTCTTATTGCCATGTAAGTTACCTTCATGATTCGCTAGTGGTCCATAAGAAACAAAGCAACAACAGATAAAATCACACACAGAATAAATCATGCCTTAAGTGACAGGGAAAAGAATAGAGAGGAGGGGAGGAAAGACCAAGTTCCCCTTCTATGGAAAGAGCATTAGTTAAAGGACAAAATGGAAGGAATGGGCACCATTAGTTAAGTACTTTCCAGGCTTAGATGTGCTCAGCAAAGCCACTGTGCAGAGTGAGGCCATGACACTTAATTTCACCTCATCAGCTTCATGATTCATTTAAAGTAGCTTTATTTTCTAGATTAGTCAAATTCACAGGGTAGCTACAGTCCTTTAGCAGAGGCAGAAAGGGATATTTAACCCAGGGCCTCTGTCATGGAAAACTCATACCATGCTGTCTTCACTACAGGAACAAAGAATGCAATCTGTCTAGATGCTATGCAAAAATTTTAGAGTAAAATCAAAGCCATTAAAGTTAAGAAAGAGATGTCAGGATGAAAATGAGTGGAAGACTCAGCCTCAAAAATCACTTCTTGTGCTTCCAAATAGTACAGAAAAGGAATAGTATACAAGAGTACAACACTTGGATTTAGACTTGCCATTTTCACCAAGGACATAAAACCAAGCTCGATTATTCATCCCTACAGCCAGATGATAGAGACCTACTGCGACAAAGTTGGGTTCCACATCAACGCAAACTGTGATTGGTGGCTCCTACAACAGAGTATTGAAACAGTCGTGAATCAACTGTCAAAACTGTTTCAATTTATAAACAGAGGACAGACCATATGATTTACGTACTCCTTCAATGAGGTTGGCCACAGTGACCTCAAGGAGGGAGGTGAGATATGCAATCCTTGTGTGACAAGCATCCCCGAGGATGGGCAGCTTGGTCAGGAAGACATGGAGTGAGCCTCTTTGGGTTGACAGTGCTAGCAACTGACCATCATCAGTCCAGGATAAGGTACCCAAACCTGAAATAATTTGCAAAATAAATCATCATTCAAAACCACAATATACCGTGGCAGGCAGTCAAATAAATATTGTCATGCAATAGGCATAAAAACATTAGATACCTTCTTCCCTAAATCATCTTGCTATTTCACTTTAATAAGAGAATATGGGCATTGAGTCATTTGCTGTGGCTCAAACAAAGTATACATCCATTGTACAACAGGGATTAAAGTTTGCTACTAGCCTCTGGTACCCAAGTGTACTTATAACCTTTAGTCAAGGAAGTATGGCTTATCACAATTCCTAAAGTTTAGAGAGCTTCACAGAAAGATGTTAACTTTAGTCCTCCTATAAGAATACAAACCATACAACAATCATTATTCTCCATAACTGCAATGACAAAATACCAATCAGCTTTGGCAAGATCAATACCTTTATTTTCATCATCCAGATTAATTATAGCATACATGTCTCTTAATTCTGTCAAGTCATGGATTTTTATGCTGAAAAGTAAAGAAAAAGGAGTATATTTTTTTAGTGGGTTTCATTCTGGCATTTTTGTACAGTGTTTCTAGTCACCCTTCCCACTGAACCTGCTGTTGGATCTTCCCTCATCCCTTTCCCTCTCTCCTCTCTCTCCCCTGGCCCTGCTGTTGGACCCTAACCCTCCTCCTTCTCCTCCTCCCCCGGCCCTGCTGTTGGACCCTAACCCTCCTCCCACTTTCATTCCTCATCCCACTAGGTATTTCCCTCTCTATAGCTTCAGCTTGCAGTGAATGGCTTCTTCACAGTCCCTCTATGTGCTCTGGAGCCCACTTTCAGATTTCAGGCTGCCATGAATACTGGCTAGGAAAGACTGGCGGACAAATGGGGGACTCTCTGCTGAGTTGTGGCACACTGAATTCTGGTCTTGTCCTTTGACTAACCTGCTGTTACTTAATTTCAAAGCTCTTCAATCTGTACATTTGTCCTGGTTTACAGCTGGATCAGTAGGAGAGGCAGATGGAGTGTGTTCATTCCATGTAATCTCAAACTCCCATTTTAGTTTTAAGATTGATTTTCTAGCATATTCAGTTTTATTCTTTTGTTCTGAGGCATAAAACCTTTAGATGTTTTCTGCATTAAACAGTCTTGCTATTTCACTATACATTATTGGGAGACTATGAGTGCGGACCATATGAATGTGAGCAGGAAAGGAGAGGACTTAAAATTTTTTTCATTGTAAAATGTTCAAAGAGTCCAAGGAAGTGTAAATGTCAGATGGACATCAACCACAAAATTCTGCTGATTCTCTTAAGTATCCTTCTGTGGTGGTTTGAATGGGAATGGCCTCCATAGACTCATGTATTTGAATGCTTGGCCCATGGGGAGTTGACACTATTAGGAGGTGAGGCCTTGATGGAGGAGGTGTGTCATGGGGGGTGGGCTCTGAGGTCTCATATGCTCAAGCTACACCCTGTGTGGACTCAGTCTCTTTCTGTTGCCTATGGATCAAGATATAGCTCCTTCTGCAGCACCACATTTGCCTGCACGCCACCAGGCTTTCCCACCATGATGATAATGGACTACACCTCTGAACTGTAAGCCCCAATTAAATGCTTTCCTTTTTAAAAATTGCCATGGTCAGAGTGTCTCTTCACAGCAACCCTAAGACATCTCCACATTCCCAGAAATATGTGACTCTAACTAACCAGTTATCTCCACATGTAGCAGCTTTGTTCAGAGTCTGTGATAATGCCACACTGGTTAGATTATCCTTATGGTCCCGAGCCTTAAATATCTCCTGTCCAACTTCTGGAAAGTGAGTAGAAATGGCCAGAAATGTTCCACGGGAAAAGCCAACCATGATGTAGCCATCACCATACCTATAGCAGCAAGCAATAATAGGATTAAAAAAGAGATGACTTATCAAGGCCAAAATGGCAAAAACCTTAATATGATAAGATATAATTCACTGAGGCCCTACTGTGTATCAGATAACATGCCGGGTGGTATTACACAGACTGCAATAAGGGTGCCGTATACAGAGTATAATGTTACAGACAGGCAAATAGTAAGAAAAAAAAAGCGTTTTTTTTTTCCCCTATGGTTTTTTGTACATACCAACTATAGCAGACGATGCTACCGTAGGCTTGTTGAAACTCCAGATCAACTGGGTTATCTGGTTCATTCATATGAAAAAGAAACAACATTTTCTTGCCAACTACTGCACTTATCTGCCAGGAAAGACCAGGAGATCATGGGATGAGTTACTCAGAATTTCACGAGAAGACCAACAAGCAAGTCCAAACAGCCAAAACCCCATTATGAAAACAGCGAGCCAAAGCTAGATGTGCTAAATGCTATCATTAGTATAAACCATAACTAACAAAAATAGCAAAAAGCATTTACTGATGGATAGTTTGGCAGAGGTCTTTGGCTTTATGTATTTCCAATATCCTTTTGAGATACACTATGCCTTTGTGGAAAGTTTTTTGAACTCTATACCTCTCACCAGAAACTGTGCTATTTAGGAGGGTGACTCTGGCATAGTTTTGCTGCAGCTGAATTTATTTTTTCAGTACAGAATTTTTCATTCTAAGAGGCCACTTGGCTTGTGAGCCAGCCAGGATTACAAGTGTGCATTCCTAAGGATAAGCTAGCTAACTTAAGTGACACTTTCTAATCCTCCCCCCACCACCAGGTGAGTGTGGCTGAAGTAGGATCCCTGTGTTATTCACACAAAATCAGAACTAGCTACAATTCTCACTGGAAGCTATCCTTATGTTGAGGAGAGAAAAGTGTGTATTAACCTATGTTAAAGATGATACTTTGCTATATATTGCCTGGATTACAAATGTTATCAACTACAATAGCATCAATTTAAAACAGCCTTTCAGGAAATAAAGAAACATTACCTTCTTACATATTTTCTTGTTTAGTATGAAAACTATCTGGATTCTAGAATGCTACAATACAGCAAGGAAATTATACATGTTAAAGAAGCAAGCTATGATTTTCAGAGATCTGTTTACCATCAGCAGTGTGAAAAAAAAATCTAAAGTCACACAGAAATCATTGTTTCCACTTCTTAAATTTGTTTTGCTTTTGTTTTTGAGACAGGGTTTCTCTGTGTAGCCCTGGCTGCCCAAAAAGGAAATTGACCACTATGAAACTACCAAAATGACTTGGGTGTGGACTTAAATTAGAATGCTTACTATGTTTTCAGCAGAAGAAATTCGGTCATCTGTCTTGCTTGTGGAAAACTTGATGTCACTCGGCTCTGATTTCACTGGTGTCTACAGGGATAAGACATCATCACTGTGAATGAGCTCAGCAATCACATCACTCTCATCAGTGACAGGACACAAGCTAAGCATAGAACGAATGAAGCCCTGGGTTCAGTTCGAAATACTTTCCCTCTCTAAAACAAACCTTATAGAGTCATTCTGAATATTAATAAAACACAAACTTTGCTTTTATTTACGACTGAATTTGGATTATGAACCTGAAAATTCTATTGCCAACTACCTGGAAATTCTGGGTGAAACGGAACATGTGTTTTTCTTAAATGGACAGTTAAGTTCAAGGAAGGATTTACAGACAGCCTCAGCAAATAGCATACTGAAAGCAGCATGCATACACGATCAAGTTGCAGCCTCCCATGGGTGCAGCCAGGGTGGGGAGAGCTAGCGATCTGGGTCAGAGAAACCAACATTTCATCTCAAGAATGTAATCCATGCCCTGCTTCCCTATCCTCATTAGGGCCTGTGGTTCCGGCTATGTGCTGAGCAGTCTGAGTTCCTCTGGGGAGAAATTTACATAAAAGGTGGAAGGAGCCAGGCCTACCACACCTGAAGGGTCAGGCCAAATGCTCCAAGTCTGATATACCCTGCAGAAAATGAGCTTTAAGTTCAAAAGAATGAAACTCACAGAGAAACAGGACACTGAAAGTCCCTAAAACACAATTATGAGTGAGAGAGAGACAGAGAGAGAGAGAGAAATATATAATAAAGAGTTTAAAGATACACAGGGTGAGAAAGGGCCAGAATGTAAAATAAATAAGTAAATCTAAAAAAAAATAAATTTAAAAGTTTCATTAGACTGTACTTTTTATTTTTCAATTTTTATTTTAGATTTCTTTTATGCATATGATTTTGCTTGCATGTATGTCTGTGCACCAGGTATGTGCCTGGTGCCCTCAGAGGTCATAAGAGGCTGTTGAAAAAGGAGTTATGAAAGGTTATAATCTAGGCTGGGTGGTTTGTGGTGCACGCCTTTAATCCAGCACTTGGGAGGCAGAGGCTGGTGGATCTCTGTGAGTTCAAGCCAGCCTGGTCTACAGAGCGAGTTCCAGGACAGCCTCCACAGCTACAGAGAAACCGTGTTTCAAAAAACCAAAAAGAAAAAAAAAAAGGAAAAAAGTCTACAGAAAGGTTGTAAGCTGTCATGCAGGTATTGGGAATCGAACCAGGGTCCTCTGTAAGAACCAGTTTCTTGACTGCTGAGCCAGTCTCTGTAGCCCAGCAAACTATACTTCTGTGTTATATATAGGAGATGCACTTTGCTGGATGAACTTCTAGAAATGGTATTGTTTGGCTGGTACGACCTGTGTAGCTTTGTCAGTTCTTTTCAAATGTCCATCTTGAAGGGGTATACATGTTTTTTAAAGATTTTTATTTATTTATTATGTATACAACATTCTGCTTCCATGTATATCTGCACACCAGAAGAGGGCACCAGATCTCATAACGGATGATTGTGGGCTACCATGTGGTTGCTGGGAATTGAACTCAGGACCTCTGGAAAAGCAGTCGGTGCTCTTAACTTCTGAGCCATCTCTCCAGCCCGAAGGGGTATACATTTTTATCTACAGTTTTATTAATATAATATGTGGCCACAACATATATCATTTTGTCAGTGTGACAGGTGAGCAACAATGTCTCAGCACTGCTTTATCATTTTGTAATTATGAGTTTCATCATTATCATGTATGAATTATTTCATACATGTATACATTACCTTTACATATATTTCAAGAAGGGCTTTAAAATAACTACCAAGTACTTTCTAAAAATAAAATATAGAATTGTCAAAGTTAAAACTTCCAGGAGGATGAGGCAGAAGTATGGGCATGTGTTTAAAGCAAGCCTGGGTTACATAATGACTTCCAGACTAGCCTGTGCTACAAAGTGAGGCCCTGTCTCAAATGCAAAAATCAGAGGGCTGGGAATGCAGTTTAGGGCGCTTGCCTAGCGTACATGGGGCCCTAGATACAATCCCTAAAACTGCAAAACCAAGACAAAACCACCAAACTAGTCTCTAGACGTGTAGCTGATATGTGGTAAGTGCTGGACAAATAATAAATGAAGCACAGGTGACACCAATGTGACTTTCTGAACCACACAGAGACACACAGCAAATAAGACAATACTTGTAATGTGTGCTTTGTCTACCACGTGACACCTTAAGTGGAAACAATTATCTTGCATGCAAATACTGGCAAGACATAATGAACTCCTGTGGTGCCCTGTAGAAACACTATTGGAAGATCAGTTCATGATTCAGGGAACAAAAATGTGCAGGTGCCTATTGAGAATGTCCAGTATGGGCAAATGGATCGGGGACACTGCAGCACGGACACAGTGTATCTACCTTTCTGTTTCTAAAGGGTACCAGAATAGAATGATCAGAATTTTAAGATTTCTAGAAATCATGTCAAAGCAAAACTTTTAGAATGCCAGACTAATCTTTTTTTTTTTTTTTCCCTTCCAGACAGGGTTTCTCTGTGTAGCTTTGAAGCCTGTCCTGTCACTCACTCTGCAGACCAGGCTGGCCTCAAACTCGGAGATCCACCTGCCTCTGCCTCCTAAGTGCTGGAATTAAAGGCATGCACCACCATTGCCTGGCTCAGACAAATCTACAAACTATATTAGCTTGAGGCAACAGCATGACTCAGTGGATAAAAGGTGCTTGGCATATATGCCTGATGACCTGAGTTTGATCCCCAGAACCCATACAGGGGCAGGAGGGGAGAACTGACTCAACACATTTTTTTCTGACCTCTTGTGTTGAATGAGGACATGCACGTGCGTGTGTACACAAGTGCATGTACACACACACACACACACACACACACACACACACACACACAAATAATGAATAAAATTAAGGATTTTCCAAAGCTCTTTTAAAAAGATCTACACCAGTCATGTTATGATTCTGCTTAACATGGCAGAGGCACACACTTCTGCTTGACTTGTTCTAAGTATCCCAGACACAGAACCAATTCACTGTTTCCCTTGCTCACTATAAATATTAATGTCAGTGCATACCTTCAGCTAGCTTGGGCAGCCTGGACTACACCTTTCCCTCAGACCTCTGTTCATGCTGCTCTGCTTGCAGAGTGAGAGATACCTAGCATGCACAAGGTTAATGCAATAAGTGCTCTACCACTGAGCCACACTCATAACCTTCATTATAACATCTGCCTGTACTCTGTGAGTTCAAGACCAGCCTAGTCTACAAGAGCTGGTTCCAGGACCGCCTCCAAAGCCACAAAGAAACCCTATCTTGAACCTCCCCCCCCTAAAAAAAAAATAGGAGAGCCATGGTGAGCATGAAAGCTGAAGCAGGTGGAAGGCAATCTTGATCTTTTATAACAACTTTCACTTAATTACTAGTGTCCCAAGAGAACTACATTAATTCCTTCCTGTCCACAAGGACTCCAGCACTCCTACTAGGCTCCAACTCTTCAAAGGCTCCACTGCTTCCCAACATTATATACACGAGACCATACTTCTGACACATGAACTCTTGGGCGACAAACCAAATTCAACCACTGTATACTCCATGGGAGAGATCCATGTGGCAAGGAATCAGGATTCTGTGTAGGAAGAGCAATCTGCAAGACGCTGACTCTGCCAACGACTACATGAGTGAACTTAGGAACAGCCTTGTGGGAGATCCTGAGGCAGAGGCACCCCAAGAAGCTTCGATCCCTTGTCAACAACTATGAAACACCAATGTCCTAAGCTCCTGCATGTTGAGATGTTTTGTCACCCGGCAGCAGCTGATGAATACATCACATTCCCAATTGTGTGTACAGCACAGAGCGAGGCTCATTCACGTGCCTAAGCAGATATTCCAAAGACGTTTCAGTCAATACTGAAGTGTAGACAATAGTTCGAAGAGTCATTTTCCCATTGGTGACATTAGGTAGCTACTGGCAATACAAGTTCCCTTATGGAGGGGCCCTCTTGGGATCAAATCAATCTTGGGAAATTCCAACAGTAGTAGAATTTCATCTTAAATCCTGAAGTCTTGTCAGGATTACTTTGGAAACAACTGAATATATCAATGAAAGGTTTAGAATCAAGAAACTTGATTCCCAGTCCAGAATCCTCTAGTTCTTGATATTTATCAGCATGCATACATAAAATAAGACTTAATCACAAACATGCTCACTATAGCCACAGAGCTGATATTTCCTTTAATAGGTAACTTATTCTTCTAAAAAGAAAAGTTTCCCAGTAATACATAAATACGATTTGGGTATGTGAGTGTGCAAGTGTGAAAGTACGAGTGTTCATGGGTTTCTGGGTGCTGCACATGTGTGCGGACGCCCGGGAATAAACAAGGCTTTCTCACATTTAAAACATAAGATTAGGGGCTGGAGAGATGGCTAAGTAGTTAAGTACTTGTTGTTCTTATAGAAGACCCAGGTTCAGGTCCTAGTACCCACATGATGGTTTGTAACCATCCGTAACTCCAGTTCCAGGAAATCCACATCCCTTTTTGACTTCTGTGGGTACCAGGCATTTTTGTGATGTGCAAACATAACTGTGGGCAGACACTCATACACATAAAATAATAACAGTATCTTTTAAAATATGAAATTGAATGTATATTCTACATAGTGACTTAAATTTTTTCTTTTGTTTTGTTTTTTTTCAAGACAGGGTTTCTCTGTATAGCTTTGCCTGTCCTGGAACTCACTATGTAGACCACCAAGCTGGCCTTGAACTCACAGAGATCTGCCTGCCTCTGCCTCCTAAGTGCTGGGATTAAAGGTGTGCATCACACTGCCTGGCATGACTTAAAATTTGCTACATTAGCTTGATGTAAAGCTGTTTATTATAAGGAAAATGAACCTCAGACAGCAGAGACTACAATGAGTTACCTGTCTTATTGTGTCCCCTTCCTGGTTACTAACAGTGATCATTTTATCTTCACCACCCAAAGCAAGAAGATTCTCTGTATTCCAACATCCACATGTGATTTTCTTAGTATGTTTTCCTGGAAAGAGAGACAATTTTTGCAGACACATGAACTTCTCAAAAGAATAAATAAGAATTTTGAGATGCTAATCTGTGCTATGGGGATGAACAGTCAGGGGATTCCACTCTCATCCAAGCCCTTACTTAGTGTCTGTGCAACCTTATTTCAAATGCTTTATCATGAAGCTAGAAATTAAGAAAATGGTACATAACAACTTTTCGTCTGGATAATATACACAGGCCTCAGCAGAAAACAATGTTTTCCTCTACAAATTTTGTTGATTTATCACAGAACCAGACTTGTAATGGTAATATCTTAAGAGAAGTAAATCCCTAAGCTACCATTCAGCCTGTGGTCTCATAAATCCTTGATATAAGCTGACTTTTCATTCACAATTTAACTGTTCATGATAACTACAGTATAATTTATGCTAACACTGAGGCACAAATGTGAATGTCCCTTAGTGAGACGTGTGCTAAGAAGGGAGACTCTGGGCTGGAAAGATGGCTCAGTGGTTAAGAGCAATGACTGTGGTAATTCCCAGTATCCACATGCCAGCTCATAACTGTAATTTCAGTTCCAGGGGACCCAACACCCATGGCAAAACACCAATGCACATGAAATAAATAAAATTTTAAAAAAGAAGGGAGACTCCTCACTAAGGAACAATAGAAGACACATGTCTGTGTGTGTTCAGTGCAAGTGCAATGTTTTTTCCTGAATACTTTTCCCACTGTGGGTGGCTGGACCTAAGGATGTAGTACCCATGAGCACACAGAGGGCACAAATGTATTAGAGCAGGGCAAGAGGAGGGGTGATTAGACAGACTGCAGCCTGGACATGACTGCAGGGAAGACCTCAGACACTTGCTCACCAATCAAGAGGGCTTGGGGTGTTAAATCTGCAGTGCTCACAGGATCTCACTGAGGATGGAGAGTAAGGACTTGCATGTGTGAGTTTGGCCAACAGTTGGAGAGATACAGATTCAGGAGTTCTCAGGCTACAGAGAGCATTTCAAGTCAGGAGAGCAGCATACAAAAGTGAAGGGAACATCTAGAGAAGAGCTTATAGTTGATCACAGACTAAAGGATTCAGGTGGTGCCGCACCATCAGAATGGGGAAAGGATTATGTGAAGAGAGGCCGAAAGATGCTAAAGACAAATGCCTTCCTTCTTTATTTTTTTTTAAAGTATGTGTGTGTGTGTGTGTGTGTGTGTGTGTGTGTGTGTGTGTGTTTATACAAACATGGTGTGCATATGTGCATGTGTGTTCCACAGAACACATGTTGAAGTCAAAGTACAACCTTTGAGAGCTGATCCTCTCTTTCACCATGTGAGTTTCAGGGATTGAAATCAGGTTGTTAGGCTTGGTAGCCAGTGCCTTTACCTCTTGAGCTAACTCATTGGCCCATAAACTCCTTTCTTTACCAAGGAAAGGGAGAAGAAACCTTTCCTTTTCCTATACATTGTCACACTGCTCAAAACTCAGGTTAAGCATAACATCAGTAAGAACAGTTAACATGAACTACCTGACCTACTTATAGTACTCTGGCGACTGAAATGGGAGACAGGCATTATTAATTATCGTAACTGAAATTTGTGGACATTCAGAACCCTACAAAGCAAGAAATGCCAGCATCTAGTTAAGTCAAAGGAAATGTATACTATGAAATGCATATTTGGTTTCTATACAGTGCTGGTGGACCAAGCAGCCATGAGTGGGGTGACCTAATTTTTAGAAAGTTAAGAAGTGTGACTGGAAAGATGGCCCTGTGGTTAAGAGTACTTGCGCTCTTCCAGAGGACCCAAGTTCAGTTCCCAGCACCCACATCAGATGGCTCACAATGACCTGTAACTTAAGCTCCAGGGGTCCAATATCTCTGCCTCCATAAGCATCTGCACTCATGTGCACAGACACTAATACCTGCACATAATTCAAAATAATAAAAATAAATTAAAACGGTTAAGAGGAAACAGGGTCAAGCCACAAATCCCAACCAAGTGTGAGAGAAGCAATGGTAAATTTATCTAAAGGCATTAAGATGGATAATTAACTAGAATATTTTCAGGTACATTTTACATAGTAATTAAGTAGGAATGTGGACAGAATCGTATTCATGTTAAATACAAAGATCACAATAGCATCGGGTTCATATGGTAGCCCGATATGAGAGATCATGCTGTCATCTACTATCCCCATATACATCCAGTGTCAAAAATCTCTGGGACTTATAATCTATTGGAGGACATTCTCATAGATAAAGTGGGGAACAAAATGCCTACTCGTGTCATACAGAAATTTATATGGAGCTGGGCAGTGGTGGCACACGCCTTTAATCCCAGTACTTGGGAGGCAGATCTCTGAGTTCCAGGCCAGCCTGGTCTACAGAGTGAGTTCCAGGGCAGCCAGGACCACACAGAGAAACTCTGTCTTGGAAAACAAAACAAAAAACAAAACCAAAATAAGAAATTCATATGAAAAAAGTTGATTTTTGTCACTGGGAAGAAATTTTAGTTTGGTCTTTCAAACAGATTAATGATGCTTCTATTTATCTCTCATTATTTAAAATTAAAATCAATACTAAGAAGATACCTGTGAAAATTATTTGATATGACTCACTACTCTTAATGGAAAGCACTTTCTCACATGTTCTGTAGGTGCCACTATCTCCAGCGTTTGCAGCCTCCCTTAGTGGCTGGGATGCTTTTTCTGGCCACAAGCCTGAAGTTAACCCTGTTATCACTCATCGGTGTGATGCTACGATGAAAAGGGTCAATCTTCAAGGGTCTTCAAGGGGCCAAGGCCAAGTGAACAGGGGTTGGAGGAACCACAGTACCTCACACAAGGTCAAATGGACCACATACTCTGAGGCAAACTACTCATAGTCCAATGTCTGCATTCAATTGGAGTCTGGAGACAAGGTAGGGTAAGGACTGGGACCATGGATCCTATAAGCAAGCAATCAGTGAATGTTTCAGTTCACTAACTACATGGGTGAAAATTAGTATATGTTATAATACAACAACATTGACTAAAATTAGCCAAAAATGAACATATGTGATCAACAGGTGTTGACATGCATATGAGCTATTCCATGTCTAGTGATTCCATCTGAGTGTGAAAGGGAAAACAGTTACCTGATGCTTGAAGACATAGGTTGACCTTAACTCAGTCTGTCCTGTGTACCTCAGGAAATCTTAGCAAGCAGGAGAGGGATCTTCCTGGTCAGCAATCTAAGATGGACCAGGGAAGCCTTTCTCTACAGATTTTCCCTTGCAGCATCTCAAACATGTAGCCGTGCTTCTAGCCAGAACCTACCAAGAACAGGAATCTTTCGAGATGTCTGATGGTTATAAATGAGCAAATTTCCTTTAATGGTCCCAACAGCCAGGAAACTTCCATTTTTTGACCAAAGAAGGAAAGACATTTGATCCCTGTAATATTAAGATATATATTACAGAACAATTCACAATCAAAACCCCTTAGTAATGCTCTAAGAAAAACTTCCTATATAACTTCAACCTATGCTTAGAAGCTGAAGTGCAACATCATAGTTCATGGACTTTAGCTGTAGTCCCAGCACTCAGGAGGCAAAGACATTCAGATCTCTGTGAGTTCGAGGCCACCTACAGCTACAGAGTAAGACTCTGTCTCAAGAAAACAACAAACAAACAAACCCCATACAGCTTATAGTTTTTAGATCAACACTAATTGTTAAAAGAATTTTGGAGGCTGGGTGTTGGTAGCACACGCCTTTAGTCCTAGTACTTGGGAGGCAGAGGCAGAGGCAGAGGCAGAGGCAGAGGCAGAGGCAGAGGCAGAGGCAGAGGCAGAGGCAGAGGCAGAGGCAGAGGCAGAGGCAGAGGCAGAGGCAGAGGCAGAGGCAGAGGCAGAGGCAGAGGCAGAGGCAGAGGCAGAGGCAGAGGCAGAGAGGCAGAGGCAGAG